CTCCCAACAGCCTGTCTCTGAAGGCTGGCAGAGTGAGGGTTTTCCTGCCCATGTGTGAATATTGATGCTGGGTGGAAAGCTTTTGATAAAGGGGCCTCTGTAATTGATTTAGATGAATCCCCAAGGAAATCTCAAGTAGCTGGTATAAGTGAGGTTATGGGGCTTCATCGTGGATGAGAAGGAGCCATCCCTCCTTAGGCGGGGAAGGCACTTCGAGCTAGTGTGTGGTGTGGAGACTCAGGGCCCTGGCTGCTGACACAGCCTCATTTCTGCCCCTGCCTCTGCCCCTGCCTCTCTAGCCATGGGATTCCGGGGCATCTGAGCCCTCCGCACGGCCACCTTCATTTGCTCTGAGGCCTGAGCGAGTGATGGGTGGGACACAGTCCAACGTGGGTTTCTGCCGACACCACCAAGCAATTAATTCTGTTGCCGTCTACCTGCAGATAGCTTCAGATCCCACAGGTGAAGGGCTCAGTCCTACAACACTGTTTTCCACGCCACACCTACCCCCATTCCACGCTTCAGATGCCAGTCACGGGTCCAGATTGCTACCTGCATAGATGGGAGGGTCCCCACGATCCACTCCGAGCTCAATTTTCTAGAACAGATCATAGAACTCAGAAACATTGGACTCACGAGATTACCAGTCCGTTATAAAGAGAGTAACTCAGGAGCAGCCTGACGGAAGAGCTGGATAGAGCAAGGTGTGGGGCTGAGTGGGTAGTGCAGAGCCTCCGTCCTTCTCTGGGTGCCCCGCTCCCCCCACGCCTGTGCGCCCACCAGCCGCGAAGCTCTCCGAATCCTCCCTTGAAGTTTTTGTGGAGGCTTTGTTACAAGGGCACGATTGATGAAATCATTGGCATTGATGATTGATTCAAGCTCCAGGCCCTCACCCCCTCCCCTTCCCCAGAGGTCGGGGCGGGTGGGAGGGCGAGACTGTTAGCTTCAACCCTCTAGTCACAGGTTAGTTCCCCTGGCAACCAGCCCCCATCTTAGGTGCTTTCTGAAAGTCACCTCATTAACATAAACTCAGGTGTGATTGAAAGGGATTTCACCTGGTCTTAGCCAAAAGGCCAAGAAGCGATTGAAAGGGATTTGTTGTGACTGTCAGGACACCTTTATTGCTCTTATGGCATGGAAAATTCCAAGGGTTTTAAGAGCTCTGTGCCAGAAACTAAGACCAAATATATATTTCTTATTATAAATCATATCACACACAGTAAGCTCCAAAAGTATCCTTTCCCTTCTTTCTCTTTTCTTCCCTTGGATATGGGATTATCTCTTTTCACATTCCTTCCAGCTCTAATTTAAACACAAATAGACACTCTTTGTAAACTAAGAAACTCTACAGGTACCAGGCAGCTAGTGATGAGTTCTACTACTCATATTTGATGGTGAGGGCTCTGGGGTTGTTCAGGCGGGTTTTATTACCTTTTCAACCCGTGAGCTTATCTTGGCCATTGTGGTTCAAGTGCTTCTGTATAGATTTTAGTTCTACAACCAGCCTTATGCATGTCATGGTTCCAGAACTGATGTACTGTCAGAACAGATGAGCTCTGCCAAATCGTCTCCCATCTTGATTTATGGAAAGGGTTTTGCCAGATTGACTTGGATGAGAAATTCAGATCAGAAACCACCTTTCTAACACGCTAGACCGTTTTGAGTTAAATGTCGTGCCCTTTGAACTTAGAAATGCCCTCGTCTATCTTCAGTGACTGGTTTAATGGTCTCTTAAGAGGGGTGGAGCCATTTGCCTTGGCCTTTGCCAACAGGCAGTGTGGCTATATTTAGCTGGGATGCAGGTGAACATCTAAGACAGGTCCCGCTGCTGCTGACTGTAGGCCTCCGAGCCTAGTGTAGTGTATGATTTTACTAAAGGGCCACGTTGCGCCGTAGTGCCTGGGTATTCATCGTGAGGTGGTCTTGTGGGATAAAACACGAGTACTCAGAGTCTGGTGAGCTCCTGCAGCTGAGAAGAAAGTTAGGTAGGCCATTTTGAACTGGTTGGATACAAGATGGGTTTTATCATCTCTTGTTTTAGGATTATGGCTGGATTTCTTACCGCTTCTGATGCAGGACAGGCAAGCAAACCTGATTGGAACCCTCCCGATAGGGCCAAGGAGCTTTTAAAATGAAACTGTTTCTGATGACTTTCCCAGCTTAGTGAGCCCCAGACTTCTCACAGGCCTCCATCCTAGTACGTCTTGCTTTGGGCAGGGCCCTGTGGCCGGGCAGGAAGGACGGAGGCCAGCACGCATGGATCAGGGAGCTCCTTATGTAGCATGGCCAGAGGGAAAAGCAGTTTGCTGTCCAGTAGGAGCACTAGCCATGAATTGTCCGTTAACACCAACCATAGACATCTGGCCAATAAACCCAGAAATTGCTTGAGATTTTACAAAGCCCAGACAAAGATTTTCAGAAGGGGTCGTGGATGTATCAAGATTCCCAAGATCAGTAGGATATATTCCAGGGTAAGAGGAAGCTGTGGGAAGACTTCAGCACTAAATATTTAATGGGCACACTGGGAGCCTTTAAAAAACACCGATGCTCTGAGATTCTGTTTAATGGTTCTTGGGTGGGACCTGGGGAATCGTGACTGCAATGCGCAACCAGGGTTGAAAACCACCGCCTCGGATCAAGATCGCAGTTTGACAGCGGAAGGAGGGGAACAGTGGGCTTTAATGTGTTCTGTTCCTGATAGAAGGGGACTTGAAGGAAAGAAATGGGACAAGCCCCTTTAGGCTATGAGCCTCTGGGGCTAATGAGATAAGAAGGCTGGTTGCTGGGGAGAACTTTCTTTGCCTGGTTATAGTACATTCATTTCAAAGTGGGGGGAAGGAGGTTAGTCATAGCCATTTAGCATGATACTTTGGCAGGAAAGTAAATATACTTTTATCAGGTCTGTATTTGTCGTTCCAGGGGCTAAGGTCAGAGATTTTCTGCTTGGTTGAGGGCAGCAGGGTTAGGGCATTCCAGTGGGGCAAACTGATCTTTAAAAACTGCCCCATTGGCAAACAACGGAATGAATAATGGGAGTGACAACCTGGCCCACCCCCATGAAGATCATATTCTCATTAGAAGTAAAAAATTATGCAGAAAAGTAAAAAAGAAAAAAGTAAATGGCATCCACAGCCCCACATCCAAAAATAACGTCTATGAATCCTTCTGGACATATCTCGATAGAAAAAAATAATTTTATATAAACGGGATCCTGGTTTTTTTTTTTTTTTTTTTTTTTCTTTTCATCAAGTGTTGAGCTTTGGGTCTCTTGCCACATTGATAAAGAGGCCCACATCAGTTTTAAAGACTGAATAATGGGGCGCCTGGGTGGCTCAGTCAGTTAAGTGGCTCCCTTCGGCTCAGGTCATGATCCCAGGGTCTTGAGATCGAGCCCCATGTCATTGGGCTCCTTGCTCAGCGGGGAGCCTGCTTCTCCCTCCCCTTTGCCCTCTGCCTGCTGCTCCCCCTACTTGTGTTCTCCCTCTATCTTTGTCTCCCTCTCTCTAGCTCTGTCAAATAAATAGAATCTTTAAAAATAAATAAAGGCTGAATAGTATTTCATCATATGGACGAGCCATTTTTGTTAATCCTCCTTTGTTGATAGACATTTAGGTCATTTCCAATTTATAGCTAACAGTGAGATAAAGCATCCTGCACTTGTGCCTTTGAGCAGCGCATCCTGCTGTGCTGATCTTCCTTTATTCCGGTTGCTGAGCCGGTTGCTGAGGCGGAGGGTGGAGATGAGGAAAGCCCACGTCCTCCCATCGCATTGCTCACAGCTTATTGTGTGTTATAAGTCACCTGTTATTTGCTTCTGTGTTTCCTTATTCCCTTCCCCCCACACAGTCATAATGAGCTCTTTGGTGAGGGATAGAGTACACCGCACTCATTTAGTCCCACCTTCTTCATGATTAGAATGTGCAGAGTTGAGATTGCTTCTGAAAGTACATTGGCAGTCAGTGGAAGGGCCTCTCATTGCGAGCAGCCAGCGAGAAACCCACTCTGGCTGTGTCGTTCCGGACGTTCCCCTCAGGGACATTGCAGTGTGTATCTAGTTGACCTAAAGTGGTGGGAAAAGTTCCTCTCTGCCTCCTTTTAAAAAAATGCTATCAAGCATGTATTTATTTCTCAAGAATCTAATAGGGGCCTGCTGGGTGCCGTGCTCTGTGCCTGGCATGAGACACAGGAATTATTAAAGCTCACCGTCCCTGCCCTCCAGGGTTCGGGATTGCTTGGAGGGGCTCACAGCGTAACGGTCCTAAATGCTGTTTTCCCTGGAAGTTGAGCTGCTGAGGCTCATCAGGACTGTGGTATCAACCACTTAGACATTATAGAGGAATTTGCATATGAGGGAAATGGTTTTGTGATTTCCTGCGGTGGATAGGACCCAAGGGTTCTTTCTGATGAAACTGACAGGAAGTTGAAATGCCCTCATTGACTGGAGCAAAATTATCTCCAGCCAATCCCTGCCTGTCTTCCCAGCTTCCTTGGGGGTTCTTTTCCTGGCAAAAGAATAAAGGGGTCATGAATTTGGGTTTTATAATTTTAGCATTTAGAGCGACAGAGCTTCCAGACCCATGCATGATCAGAGATTCCCGGCAGTGTGGCTGGTAGTCTTTCCTAGGCTGATGGTGACTTGGGAGAAGATTGAGTGTAAATTGAGAAATTTAGGAGGAAAAAGCTGCCATCACTCCGCTGACCAGAAGGGCCTCCACAGATCAATTAGTTAAAAGGTTTTAAGTTCTTTTAGGCACTTTTTTGAAAAGTTAACTCTCCCAAGAAAAAATGTACTTATTGTACCTAAGCATGGGTGTTTATATATATATACATATATATATATACCGTCCCACACAGTTTGCTGATCCCCAGCCTGAGAACCCTGATCTGGCCCAATCCCTGGTTTTATGGGTAGAATGACTAAAGTTTATAGAGGAGGGTAAATGTGGGCTATATTGTCTAGCTGGTGAACTATTCCTAAAGAAACTTTTTCTTTCTTTCAGCACTGGCTGGATCATTCCAAACCCATAAAGAAGCAGATGAAAAGTAAGTAAGCAGAATTTAGCCTACTCACTTATTTCTTTTATCAGAGAGTAAAACTCCTTTGACAGTTTTTGAGGTATTATGTTTTCATCAGGACTTGGGAGCGTATTTAAAATAGATATCATTTTAAGTGGATGATTTTTCATTTCTTAAGGCTGGCCAAATGTTAGAGTTTAAAATTTGGATAAGAGTTTTTGGTAGATATTAAAAAACAGACTATGCTCTCATTTGAAATCTGGTACCCTTGCCAATGAGAACTGATTAATATGCTGTTCAGAAGCATGACTTTACGCCTATTACATTCATTTGCTAATGAGTTATTAAAGTAGACTCAGAGGATGGAAAAGCTGGAGTTCTGACAGTCCAGTCAAGCTCTCTGATTTTATAGGTGTGGTAAGCCCATTTCTTCAGTGTTGTGTATGCGTGGGTCCTTTTAAAACATGGAATACTTTACAGTGTCCTTACTGTATTTTTAGGTTACAGAACACTTGCTGTTTATGCGTCACTTTCCTTTAGCCCACTTCGTATTTTGTAAAAAGTTAGTATCTGTTTGGAATATCTTGGCAATTGGATGAAAGTAAAATGTCAGCTCTTAGTAATTCATCTAGATGGTTAGGGTTTTATTCCAGAATGAGTTACTAGCTACACCGTCTCTGTCAACACGAAAGCACATTTTAGTTTTCCAGATTCAAAGATTGAAAAGAACTCACTAGCTTTCTATGCCCCATTGTGACCTCCCCGATGTAACGGTGAATGTATGACTAGAGTTAACGTGTTTTTCCTTTTGTCCATTCTCTGATCTTCAAAATTGGGGGAAAACATCTTCAATCTTCCATCTCCATATGTTTAGTCGGACCTGCTTATGCTTTGCACTTTCGAGTTAAATATTATTCTTCAGAGCCGAACAACCTTCGTGAGGAGTTTACAAGGTAGGACAAAATGCAGAACAGGATTCCCCTCTTTCTCACAGCACTTACCTTATGAAACTCACGGGTCCCCTGAGCTGTAGGTCTACCTCCTCTTCTATCTGCTGACTTTATATTTTGAGCAAGAGTTATTAGTACTTTGCTGTGCTTGTCTCTGTATTCTGTTGAAAATCTACCTTTTGCTTAATTTGTCCTTTTTCTCAGTGAATCGGAATTAAAAGATTTATTTTCTTGTTATATTTCTGTTTTGTTGGGCTGTGGGTAAATTGGTGAGTTGTTCTTTATACTGTCACTTTATTTTTGTCTAGGTACAAAAAGGGAAGGCAGGCATCGGAAGAGCATTTCTTAGTCCCAGATAGCCATCTTATTTTTTTTTTAAGGGGCTGCAGTGTTCCCTTGTTGCTACAATATCAAAGTTGTTGGAATCCCTTCATGTTATCTTTCAGCCCCACTGGATTTCTTTTGAGGTCTGCCTGCCTTATGCCTGTCTCTTAGACTTCAGAAACAGTGTTGAAGCAAAAGAGACTTTAAAAACATTTTAAGTATGGAATTTCCCTCCAGCTACCCTTCTGACAGTGAGATTCTCTACCCAGCCTTCTACTGCTTTAGATGTCCCCAGAACCTCCTTGTCATTTTTGTGATGGACAGTAGTGGTGACATGTCAGCTCATGGTGGTGGCCATTAGCCTGGAGATGACCACCCAAGGAACAATTTAAAGACTGCTTGTCATCATTCTCCACCCTGGAGAGGCCTACTGGCCTTCCGTAGCTAGGTTTTCCTGTAGAAATTGGAAGTTCTGGCCATGTCAGCCCTGTTTTCTCTTTGACGTGAGTACTCAGCTCTGTGGTGGCTAAGCAGCTGTCGGAAGCAGGAACATTCTGGAATGTACTAGAACCTTCAGCTCCCCCATCCTTTGATTTTTGGGTCACCCACATTCTCCTAGATCCATTCCAACAGAGAGTGACAGTCTGCTTTGTTTTCAAATTTCAAGCAAATTATTCTAGAGTTTCTCTTCAGAGTCCTTTATGAAACATGCTGCTTGTAGCCATCATCAAAGCCAGTGATTCTTAACTAGGGTTGTGTGAATCAGAAACACCTAGGAAGCTTTTGAACAAATCAGATTCCTGGGGACCACTCTTGCATAGAAGGCTGATTCTGTAGGTATGGGGCGGAGCGTGGGTAGCTTTGGCTTTTACAAAGCACTATAAGTGGTTCCGATGCCCACAGTCTCCTGGTTAAAACAAAAAACAAAAAACAAAAAAACAGTTAAGCCAAGACACTTAATTTTTTTTTACTTAGGTGAACTCCACTTGTGTTACTTGCTACTTTCCTCTCCCCATTTCTCGTTACCCCATAACCCCCTGCAGCCCAGTTCCGGGATTTTTGGGGTGTGTGTGTGTGTGTGTGTGTGTGTGTGTGTGTGTGTACATGCATTTGGTTTTTAAAAAGACAGTCTGCAGTTAACCTGCATCAGGAAAAAAGCCTCAAGCAGTTGCTAACTACAGTCAGCTGTAAACTTTCTGATAGAAGCAGCTGCACGGTTCCTGGAATCTGCTGGCGGGACTGGCTGAGGGCCAAGTCCGGCGGCTCTGCCCTGTCTGAATGGACATGTCGCATGCCTGTGTGTGAGCGCTCTTCTCAGCACCTATGGTGCTGCCGAGGCCGTCATTGGGCTGTGCCGCGTTCCATGTTCCATCTTCCAAGTATCTTGCGAATTCTGTACATGCGCTCACCTGCCTAGCTAGGTTCTGGGATGCCTTCCTGGAGACTCAGGAGGAGATGCTTCCACCAAAGTTCTCATTTGATTTGGACTCCTTTATACAATGCTGAATTCTGGGCTATGGGCGGGGCAGGGCTTGTGATGGGCAGTTGGGGGTTGGAAGCAGCTGGGAAAGAGGACCCTCTGTTGACTTTTGTGTATGTTTATCAGGTACCTGTTTGTTTTACAACTCAGGCATGACATTCTTTCAGGAAAGTAAGTATGTTTTTGTTCTCACCCTTAACCCAGGATAGATCATAGTATATTTCTAAATCACGGTTGTTGTTGCTGTTTTAACTCTTCTACCCTTGTTCCCTTTTCAAAATTCAAAAAAAGTACACCAGGCATTGTAAAGTGAGTCTAATACTTGTATCACTGTCATCCTCATCTTATTTTAAATGATTACTATATGGCTTGAAGCATTTCCAAGAGCATTTAATATCTTAAGTGATGTGCATTTGGGAATAATGCTATCCCTGATCACATCACTGCCCCATTCATGATGGCTTTTGTCGTATTTGCAAGCAAGATACATTATTAGTATGTATACACTTACAAGCGTTTGGATAGTCCAAAGTCTCATTCATCACCATCTGCATTTAAGCAATGAAACAGGTTATGTTCTGATTCTGATAGGAGGTTTAGCCATCTCATCTCATTTCCTTTTCCCCTCTTAAAAATAGTTTTTCAATACCAGGCCTCTGGTGACAATGATTGGTGAGCACAAGGAGCATTGGCACTGATGTGGTTGGTCTCGCCTGCAGTATTTATTTTAAAGATGGGAAATTTCAATGGTCCTAGCCTTTACAGTTGTGTCACTTTTCCACATACATATTGACCATTTTCTATTCCATGGAAAATGAAGACCATACTGAATCTAAAAAGTGATCCCTGATGCTGAAAAGAGCACATCTTGATTTTGAATATAATCGGAAGGAAATCTGAAAAGCGATTTCCGAATTTGCAGACTCTGCATCGAACGTATGCTATAAAAACCTTAGCGCAATATAATAGAACAAGTAGATTGTACAGTGTATACATTTGCCTTATTCAGCCATGCAATACGAATCTTTGGTGTGCGTATTACGAGTGTGTGTATTTTTATCTCTCTCTCTCTCTTTCTCTCTCTGCATACTGTGCTCCTCATACGAAAGGCCTCTTAACTCTAGTAATTGTCTTCAGTTTGGAAAAATATTAATGGCGACATCTTGCATTTGTATAGTACTTTGCAGTTTCCGTGCACTTCAGCCTGATTTATTGTACTTCAAAGCAGAATGGTGTTCTGGTCCCAGCACTGCCTCCTACCAGCTGGATGACCTTGAGCAGGACACTTGAACACTCAGTTCCTCATCTCTAAAGTGGGGGATGGGGGAGCCCTGGCAGCACCCGTCTTCGGGGTTTATAAACTCCGTGCATTGACCGCATTCGGCCGTACGTGTGAAAGGCTTTGAAAACTATGAAGTGCTATACCAATGTATGTCATTATTATTTTTCTAACTCAATTTGTAATTTGAAGTGTGAATGAGATCAGTGATGGGAGGTGTAGTAATATGCCTCTCTGGCTCTGCCGCCCTTCTCCTTATTAGAACGCTTGAGTGTATCCAGCTGTCCTGGCGGTGTTAGATATTGTATCTGTCTGTTTATTTTTAACATTATGACCTGGTTTCAAGAAAGATGTAAGGCAGCTTGAAAAGGCGCATGTACCATATCAAGTAAGTTTCAAAATCACAAGGCAAAGGGAAGGCTTTTCATTCTGTTTCCCAAACTTCCCCCATTCTTGCCAAATTCAGTAAAATTGCCCACAGGGTGGATAGAAATTGTACCGAGGTTGGGGTGTTTTGCTAGACGGTGAGACCGACTTTGGGAAATAGGTAGTGGGAGTCAGCTTGTTTGCATTCTTTAACGTAGATAGCAAAAAGAGAAACTGCTGGGAAAAATCATTATCTAAATATCACTACCTTTTGAAAAATGACTTCAGTGATACTTTGTATGGTTTATGAGTATTAAAGTTCATATATAGAATTAATTTCCTCTCTCTCTGTCTCTTTTTTTTTCAAGATTGAAATGCCCCTATGAAACGGCTGTGGAATTAGCTGCTCTCTGTCTACAAGGTACATTCTTCTTTGGTGGTAATTAGCATTTTAATATTATACTCTCATTTCAACAATTGATTATCCCGTGTACCAGGCTCAGTTCTCTACTTTGGGGGTATAAATGAATATAGTAGGGCCTCCATCTCCAAGTAGCTTGTGGTGCCGTGAGGACGTGGCAAAACCACACACAGGGTGTAGCGTAAGGAAGGACCTGCAGGAGGCTTGGAAGGTGAAGGCCCTTCAGGGGAATGAGTAGATGAAGATGAGCAAAGGAATCAAGACACAAAGCAGAAAAGTGCAGAAAGGCACCAGCAGTCGAGTGGTGTCAGAGGGTGGAAGTTCAAGAACCTGGAGAAGTAGACAGCCTTGAACCCTGTTTAGAGAGCATGACCTTCATGCTGTTAGCAGTAGACCCCTGAAGGCTCTTAAGAGGGAGGCAGGCCTGGTCAGGTGTGCATTTAGAAAGGTCACACTGGCTCTGATGGGGAGAGGGACTGGAGTAAGACCAGGGCTGGGGGTGCAGATAAAAGGTGTTGCTGTAATAAAAGGAAACTGACTAGGGCACAGAGTACGTGCTCACACACACACACCAAAAAAAAAAAAACAACAACAACAACACTGGTGGTACAAGAGAAAGACCTGGTCATTAGATCAGTTTTGAGAGGGGAGTCGGGGAGGAGTCACAGATGGCTCCCAGTGGTGGGTGATGGGAGCAGTGAATGCTTAGAAGAGTTGGCTCCAGTGGAGGAGATCCTCTGTGGAGGGCCTCTTGGCTTAGAGGTGCCAGTGGGACCCCCCAGTAGCTTCTTGAGTGTGCACATTTGGCTCCATCAGAGAGGTCAGGCCAGAAGCATCCACAGGGAGTCATCTGCTTAGAGGTGGGAGTTAGATGGTAGGTTTGCCTGCATGGTTGTCAACATTGACTCTCCATATTAGACACTGGTGGATTTTAGTTTAAAATGCACAAGAAACACTTGCTAAAGTCTCCACCATTCATTAAGAGGATGCTAACATGTAACTGCACATAAGGAATTTTATCAGTACATCAGATAGACCTGTGTTGTGGATTCGTTTACCAGTGCGTTTATCGGCTTCTGTGGGATAATGAATTATGATGTATTCATTCATAATTACTAATTAATTTTGAATACCATCATAAGATTTGGCTTCCAGCTTTTGTATTTGCCAATTTTTGAACATTGATCTGAGTCTTCAAATTATAAAATCAGTACACATTTATTATCGACTATCAGGACAGCAGTACAATAGACAAGTAGAAGGAAGGAAGGACCTATCGTCCTACCATCCACAGATAACCAAGAGTTTCTGTGAATTGGATGCAGTTTTTAAAATGTAATTCTGATCAGTTTTGTACAATTTTTTGTATGATTTTTCTACTTGGTATTTTTAGTGCACATACTTTGTCATAAAGATGGTTTTTAATGACTGCAGGATACTCCCCTTACCTGACATTTCTATTCCTTAGTCACTTTTTAATTCTTGTTCTCTAATGGGGGCTCGCATATAGTAGGTGCTCAGTAAGTATAGGATGAATCAAATGAAGTTGGAGGGGCCCTTTAAAGACTGTGGTTGAAGGGGGAGCCTGCCCATGAGGTCTGAAAACACAGGTGGTAGAGGTGACAATACTGTCCTCTGTAAATGTCTGTCCCAAATACAATGCTCAGTGCTTCACACCCACATTTTCCTGACACAACAGTCCTTATGGTGAGTGCTATAAAGATCTAGAATGGCTTGGGGGACATGGAAATCTGCTCTCCATTTTGGCCAGGTTCCGATTTCACCATCTGGCCAAGTAGCATCCACTCTAGAGTTTGAGTCTCCAGGAGGTTCTACCATCAGAGTTGGTGGCCCAGCAATAGATGTCAAAGTGTCATTAATAGGATGAAGTCACATCCCTGTCAGACCTGGGGCCATCAGTCCACTGGTCCCAAACCATGAGAGCTTGAGGCACGTGCATTCTCATCTTCCCCTCCCCGCCCCCACTTCCTGCCGTGGGATGAGGCATCATCACACTCACAGAGTCCAGCTCTGGTAGGACCACTTGCCGTGCTCCAGAGCCGAGGCACACGTGAATGAGGTCAGCTGTCTGCGAGCCTTTCTCGGGGAGATGACCCATTTGAGTTGGAACCACAACCTAGTATAATTTAAGATGCAGTCAGTGTGTTCAGTACAAATGAGAAAGGCTGAAGGCTTAGACACACGAGTCGGGAAGGTCTTGTTACATTGTCCCTCCGTGGTCTCTTTTCCCCACATCCCATTGGGAAGTGCCACAGCCTGCCTTCCAGGTCAGCCCCAGCAGAGCCAGCCTGCATCCGGCCATCAGGATCGCTGGAGCGTGTCTGGCTTTGAGTAAAGTGGATGGTGTGTTTCCTCCCTTGCTTGAGCCTCAAAGACATGTCTTGCTGTGGTTGTCTTTGAATGCATGGTCCCTCCAGAGTTGTGATGCAGTGGCCTAGAATGAAGGCTGTGCTCTTTGGGGGACTAAGTTGATAGATTTGAAAGTTAGTGGGACGCCTGGGTGGCTCAGTCGGTTAAGCATCTGCCTTCGGCTCAGGTCATGATCCCAGGGTCCTGGGATCGAGCCCCGCATCAGGCTCCCTGCTCAGCAGGAAGCCTGCTTCTCCCTCTGCCCTTCCCCCTGCTCGTGTTCCTGTTCTCGCTGTGTCTCTCTCTGTCAAATAAATAAATAAAATCTTAAAAAAAAAAAGAAAGAAAGAAAGTTAATCCAGGCAGAAAGAAAGAGCGGGGGGGAGAATGGGACCATCGCCTGCTGTGTGTCCCATGACCTTCTTTCATCCTTACAATAGTCCCCATTTTTACTGGCGGGACATCAGAGATGGAGAGCGGTTAGTGGCTTTGCCCAGGTGGCACGGACCGTGGATGGTAGAGGGCAGGTCCTGGCCCTCCTGTGTCTGAGCTGTTTCCGCCTCCCTCCATACCCTCCACATCCAGGACCCTGGCTGCAGAGTTCACAGACAACGGAGTGTCATTTGGCCGGCAGATTCTCAGAAGGCAGGCGTGCTGTGTCAGCATACGTGTTCAGGCTTTGCTCAGGCTGGTTCTAGTCCAGTAACAGTGAGGAGGGACACTGGCCGCCAGGCCCGGTCTCAGGAAAACCTTATCATCGTCCGGTTTCTTCCTCCTGTGCTTGATGATGATAGTAGTGTCGCCGAGACAGGACTAAACCCAGGGCTCCGTTGCCCCACTTTGGCCTGTGCGTACAGGGGGTGGTTCATAGGAAGGAGTTCTCGTCCCAGACTACCCCTCCAGCCTTGCTAGCCCCCCAGTTTCAGGGTGAGCGCTTGGTCAGAGGTCAGTGGTGGCCTTGGGAGCCCAGCCCTCATTTTCGCTGGGTGATTATTCCCAGAGCAGAATCTTCATTTGTGACTTTGCCCGAGGTACCAAGTAGCTGCACACCCTGCCTCAGACCACCCTGCTGATTTCAGGGTGCCCTCCATGTCAGAGTTGCACATGAAAGGCTTCGGTCAGGTGAGGAAGTGTTCACCAGGTCCCTTCCCTCTGTCAGGCAGCATCTCATACAGCCTTCCCGCGGCCCCACTGAGCTTGGTGGTACTGCTGCATCTGTACGGACAGAAAAGTTTCATCCACTTCTGCAAGCCCATTGGGGTCCCTCCGGAAAGGTGGACTCTGGGATTGGAAAGGCTGCTGGGTACTTAGTGAGTTGCTACGACTGGAGGGGTTCAGACATATGCTGATTCATCAGTTGGTGGGATTTGTTGTGTTGAGCCGTGGTTCTCAAGGTGTGTGCCTGGATCAGCTGCATCGGCATCACCTGGGAACTTAGAAATGCACATCCTCAGGCCTTATTCCAGATCTATAGCATCAGAATCTTGGGGGATGGGGTTCAACACTGTGTGTTTTAGCGAGCCCTCTGGGTGATCCTGATGCACAATGCAAGTTCAAAAGCCAGTGGCGCAGATCCCGTGCTTTCTGAATTAACCTGTGCGCCAGTCACCTGGGCTCCTAGTGAAAAGGCAGGTTTGCCTTCAGTAGGCCTGGGGTGGAGCCTGAGATCGGGCACCGTAAGCAAAATCCCGGTGATGCTGATGCTTTGGGTAGTAGCAGGGCATTAGAGAAACCTCTGGAGGATTCCTTTACGTCCTGGGGGCTGCTCCCTGAGCTGTAGGGGTGGGGTCCAGAGTGGGGAGAGTGAATTTTCTCATTTGTGTCTTGGAGGCCTGAGGCCCCCCCTGTGTCCTCAGGCCCTTCATTCTGTGGGGGCTTGGTGAGAGCAAGTGCATGCAGGGCGTCTCGGGCTTTTTTGCTGAGACTGCTCACGTGGTTGGTCCTCTTCTGCGCTAGCGTCTTCCTCCTGATTCTGGCTGACTTGCTGCAGTTGCTCCTGCAGCCTTGTCACCCCCTCCCTCCCTCCTTCCCCCCCCCCTCCTGCCTCACTCCTTCCCTCTCCCTCCCGGCATATTTTCCCCCAGATTGTACATGTACTGAATTCTTGATTGGTTCTCTCCAGCACCGCAGCCTCGGCCTTAGGGAGAGCCTGCTTAAATGGATGTTTTGGAGCAGGTCCTCATTCCCTGCAGTTGCCTTTTATTGCAGATTTCGGCTCTACCACTTCATGGGGAAATATAATCTGGGCCTCCTCGGGTAGGGGAAACAGTCAAGAGAAAGGCAGTCATAACTGAGATAATGGTGTTTTGCCCAATGGGGAGGGCATGAGGATGATTCTCAGATTCTGGGTGCACGTGTGGGCTCCAGGTGGGAGTTCAGCCCTCCTGAAAGGAGGGGCTCCTCCACGTGGGGGTACCTCTGCTTTATAATTATGCAAACTGCCTCTGGACCTGGTTGTAGCAATCACCGAAAGCATTCACCGTCTCCTGTTTTCTTCCCTTTTATGAACCTCGCAGCGGAGCTGGGGGAGTGCGAGCTTCCAGAACACACGCCAGAGCTTGTGTCTGAGTTTCGGTTCATTCCAAATCAGACAGAAGCGATGGAATTTGATATCTTCCAGAGATGGAAAGAGTGCAGGTACCATGATGCTACCATCTCGCATTCTGATGCGTTTCTTTCGTGATCCGTAAGCATGTGTCAGACTCTGATGGGCCAGTAGAGTTGCTCTGGTTGAAGACCATAAAACTGCAGCTCCAACTCTTCACTTCTTGCCACTGCCTCTCAGTCCCGCGTTTCCAAAGGCCCCCACGACCCCTGTCTTTCCTGAGATACTGGGATACACAGGCAGGACCGCACCACACTCCCGTTGCTCTCTGAATTACCAAGCCTGGTCCCGATTGGCTCGTTCCTGCCAGGGACACCGCTGCTCACCTGGCCTACTAGAGAGAGCAAGGAGGCTCTGCCTCGGTGTGTTCCTCCACATCCGGTTCTCTGTCCGTGACCCGAATCTTCTAGAGTAAACCCTTTAGAGGGAGGCCCTGTTGCCCCTTACAGGACACTCGTATTTGAGACTGCGTGTTGTACCGTGTTCTATTTCAGGACATGTGGTCACCACGGCTAGACCCAGCCTTGTTCATGTTGTGGCTCTCCCGTCCTCCCGGGGTCTCCGTAGGCGGACAGTTTCATGCCTTTCTGCCTTCCCAGCCCACGTTCCTGAACTCTGCCTGCTCCAAGTCGGTCTTGGACTCAGAAACAGAGCCTGGTTTCCTCCTGTCCCTCCACCCCTTGAAGGGGCCTCATGACTTTTTTTGAAACTGGAAAGTGACGCTAGCCCACTCTCGTACCACGTGGAAACAGGGGAGGAAGGTGTGGCCGTGGTGTCGCGGTGCCACACCCCGCCTGCGCCTACCCGCCCGCCGTCCACTCTGCAGCCTGTCCTCATTAGCAGCCAGTGGTGCGGCTTTCCAGCCTTTTTACCTGCTGTGGATTTGACCGCGTTCACGCACCAAAAATTGTTGCCTTCCCTGCTCACATTATAAGCACTGCTGTCTGTCATCTTTCTAGTCAGGGAACAATCTGTCCATGGGAGTCTTTTCCTGTTCATCCTAATCGGTGTCCCTCATCCTCTTAATCGCTGCAGAGCATCCCTTAATGTGGCTGTGCCCTTCAGAATCCTGTGGGTATATGAGCTGCAGTTTACATGTGTGTTTCCATTGGTTTTTCTAAGGGGAAAGAGCCCTGCCCAGGCGGAACTGTCCTATCTGAATAAAGCGAAGTGGCTGGAAATGTATGGGGTAGACATGCACGTTGTCAGGGTAAGAACTGTGTGTGGTTAAGTCACGGGGTCTCTTGGGGCATACTGCGACTGGGCCATGTGTAAACAGTGTGCGAACAAAGTAACGTGGCGAGGAAACTGTTTTGCATTCTGCTCTGTGACGACCTGTTAGAACCTTCTACCGATTGTCACTTCGTTTATTTGTAGGGAAGAGATGGCTGTGAATATTCTCTTGGACTGACCCCGACAGGCATATTAATCTTTGAAGGAGCTAACAAAATAGGCTTATTCTTTTGGTAATTTAGTTTTGTCTAATATTAAAAATGTCTTTTCCTATTTTGTGGTGGAATTATATGTGATGGATGATTATTGAGGGATATTGGCAACACCCAGATTTGCTTTAAAAAAAACACACACACGCACGGGTGTTTGGCAATGGCCATGAGACTTCTGCATAAATCAAACTTGAATGAATGAATGATTTCTTTAGCAAATTTTAAACTTAAAAAAAAAAAGTAGAAAAGGAACTGTTGTTTGTGTACTAGCCTTCCTGCCGATTGTACTTTTAAGATGTTTTCTCTCTGACCAGGCCTAAAATTACCAAAATGGATTTTAAAAAGAGCAAATTGACACTGGTGGTGGTAGAGGATGATGATCAGGTAAGCCTGGTTTTCCCTCCTCTCTGCAAGTCATGCTTCTTCGAGGTCACGGGCACCCCCTGAGCCGAGCACCGTGTGCTGCTTCGCCTGTCAGGGACGGGAACAGGAGCACACGTTCGTATTCCGGCTGGACAGCGCCAGAACCTGCAAGCATCTCTGGAAGTGCGCAGTGGAGCATCACGCCTTCTTCCGACTGAGGACGCCAGGAAATAGCAAATCGAACAGATCAGACTTTATCCGGCTGGGGTCTCGCTTCAGATTCAGGTGGGCACTGGTTTTCATGATGTGGCTACCCTGTTTCGAAGGAGGGCAGCAGGGATGTTTCCCGTGAACAGAGCAACAAATGGATCTATGTCCGGAGGCTTGAGTCGGACATCCCGTCCCTGTTTCTTTCATGAGATCTGACCTTCGGTTGAGTCCCTGAGCTCTTTTAGCCTCCATGTCCTCGTGGATAAAAAGGGGCTAATAAAATTGTAAATCGCCGACATGCAGCTGGAACTGTGCCATCTAAAGCAGTAGACACTAGCCACATGTGGCCGTTAAGAAGAGTTAATTTTAAATGAATTTTTTAAAAAGTTACTTATTTGAGAGAGAGAGCATGTGTGTATGCGATTTGGGGTGGGGCAGAGGGAGAGAACCCCCAAGCAGACTCCCCGCTGAGTGCAGAGCCTGACTCAGGGCTCCCATCTCACGACCCATGAGATGATGACCTGAGCCGAAATCAAGAGTCAGATGCTCGGGCGCCTGGGTGGCTCAGTTGGTTAAGCGACGGCCTTCGGCTCAGGTCATGATCCTGGAGTTCCAGGATCAAGTCCCACATTGGGCTCCCTGCTCAGCAGGGAGTTTGCTTCTCCCTCTGACCCTCCCTCCTCTCATGTGCTCGCTCTCTCTCATATAAATAAATAAAATCCTTAAAAAAAAAAAAAGTCAGATGCTCAACTGACGAAGCTACCCCAGCACCCCGAGATTAATATTAAATAAATATTTAACTTAAGCCTGGGTGGCTCAGTCGGTTAAGTGTCTGCCTTTGGCTTAGGTCATGATCCTCAGGGTCCTGGGATCCAGCCCTATCTCAGGTTCCCTGCTTGGCGGGGAGTCTACTTCTCCTCCCTCTGCTGCGCCCCTCAGCCCCCCCGCTTGTACTCTCTCTCTCTGTCTCAAATAAATAAATAAGTACAGTCTTTAAAATGTAATTCCTCTGTCTCACCAACCACACTAAGTGCTCAGTGCACATGAGGTAGACAGACATAGAACACAAACTGTGCTAGAGCTTTTCATGAACCAATGTGCAGTCCTCACACATTGTCCTCTGATTATCCCCATTTTACAGATAAGGAAAGTAAGGCTGAGGGGTTGCATAATCTGCCCAGAGTCATAGCCAGTTAAGTGGTAGAGCTGAGATTCAACCCCAGACAATCTGGGTCTTATATTTTAACCACTACTCTATTGCCTTTCATGCGCCAACGTCCAGAAATTTGGACGGTTAAGAATGAGAGCAGATGTCCTTGTGTGTGCAGGTGACCCAGGGTGGGCTCAGTAAATATATGAATCTGAAAAGACCCTGAAAACATGAAGAATTTAATTTTTCACGTGTTTTACTTAGATGGTAAGACCATGTCTTTCAAAATACATAAAAATTCTCTGGGGGCTTATTTTAAAAATGAGGAATTATGACCTCATCCAAGACCCTTGTAATCAGAATCGATGGGGTGCATGCATATGTGCGTTCATGAGTAAGGCCTGGGAACGTGCATTTTAGATGCCCTCCCAGGCTTGGTTTCTGAGGCTTGTTTACATATCTGAGAATTGCTATTATAAGCCTTCACCTGGTTTAATAAAAGTTTAATAAAACTTCACCTGGTTTCATAACCTCTACCCACACATGGTATGTCCTTGAACTCTGTTGAATATACCAAAAAATGTGTTCATTTCAGATTTATCTACTGTATGAGGAAGTGGCTGTTGGGATGGTTGCCAAGGCGGGCTTTTCCATCCTGGGAGGAAACACCCCCAGGATTTGGCCAGCCCAGGCTCCCTTCTGCTCCTTGAGGAGAAGCAGAAGGAAGGGGATGTTGGAGACAAGGTTGCCCCTTGGAGGCCCTTAGAGCGGGTGGCAAGTGCCCCCTTCTGTGTGAGAAGTCATCAACCAAGCGTGGCTGGAATACAGCAGCTCAGATAAAAACAGTGCACGTCCTGGAAACGGGACAAGGCCACACGGTGGTTGAAACCCAGAAAGCCTTGGTGAAAGAAGTCAGGTTTCCCTTGGCATAGTAAGGAAGGCCAAGGTTTACTTAAGTGGTCATTGATAACAGCATTTTAGAAGAGGTAAATGTCTATGTAATGTGTATTATGAAAGGTTATTTTATTTGTGAATCGTTGTTCTCTCTGTCAGATGTTCCGAGTACTTGGACCTGCTTGGTTTGTGGAGCCAAGTGGCTAGTACCTAAATTGCAGGCTTTGTCTTTTGGTGGAAATATCTGCCCCTATAATACGGCTTGGATTTGGCAAAGCTTTGATTTCCCAATTCAAGGCCAAATTTGGAGTGTGTCTTCACCAAACGAGTTCACGATAAGTTGAAATTTACATTGGAGCTCTTGAAAATAGAAGCGCGCTTCCAAATACGCCTCATGTACTGATATTCTGATATCGGTGACATGCAATGAAATATTTACTTTCCAGCGGGCGGACAGAGTATCAAGCCACACATGGCACCAGGTTGCGAAGAACCAGCACCTTCGAGCGGAAGCCTAGTAAACGCTATCCATCCCGGAGACATTCGACATTCAAAGGTGGGGTGTTGTTCATTCTGCCTGGAATTTTACATTACAGTTTAGTGGGTTAAGCCCTGAGGAGCTTGGTAAAGCAGTTCCTAAAGGAACTTTCTGCCATTCTGCTCTGTCATTCCGAAGAATCCCAATGGGAGGGATTCTCTGGAGGGGAATCAGGCCACTTTTGCTGTCCACTGTCTTTAGTTTTTCTCATTGGATGTGTTCATTTTCTTCTCCCTCTTTTTTGTACTTCTCTTCTTGTGCCTCTTTGCTTCTCCTGGACCTGGGACCTTAGGAGTATCGTAGATTACCACGTTTCTTGCCTGTGGAAGAGGGTGCTGTGTCTTGGAGGGAAAAACAGTCCTTTTTCTCCTCCGTCTTACAATTTCAAATGGGGACTTTAGTCTCATGCTAACCACCTAAGAGCAGATCCAGAACCTTTAAATCCTGGACTTAGGTCCCGCAGTCCATCCGAACACATGCTGCCCCTGAATTTAGCCTGCCCTTCCCCCACCTTTCCAGAGTCCCCTGAGCCTTGTCTGTCAGTTACTAATGTGGTCTCACACCTGTCTGAGGCCGGGTTCCCAATACAGGACCAGTCAGTGAATGAGCAAGAGGCTCATTTAAACCCAGCCTCCACATCCCATCTCTCAGCTCTCCTCTGTCCATGCTTGATTGTTCCTCCCTTCAGGACACCTAGTTTAGCATTGAATTGTGGGCTCGTTCTTGGCACGGTCTCTGTACTCCCAACCCCCCAGGCCCTCTCCTACATATCACTTACTCCTAGTGGCCATTCCATAGATTTTCCTTATATAACTCAGGACTTAGCGGGCCTTTATGGGACCCACACCTATACTTGCCCCCCTTCTAGAATCTTTATCCTTGTGTTTCCCACTGTTTCCTGCCTTTTTGAACCAATGGTGCATACCATGGCAGCCAGAAGCTCTCTAAAGTCATTCTTGGCTGCCCTAATGGAGAAAAAAATGGCCAGAGCCCAGGAAAAAGACCAGAGGGTGAGAGGCCTGGGGGCTTGCCCAGAGAAGGGTGACGGGGGATGAAGGTGATTGATTGCAGGAACTGGCGGTGACAAGTGATGTGGTGGGGGAGAGAGGGAGGGCTGTGTTGCCTCCCTGTCAGGCCTTATGCCTGCTGTGGTCCATTGGGTCAGCGTTGTCCAGAAACACTCCAAATAAGGAAGAACTTCCTCATGGTGTTGTCCAAAGATAGAGCCATCTCAAGACCTTGCTGAGCTCCCAGGCCCTGGAGGCGTGCACAGGCACAAAGGGAAAGACCCCTTGGCATAGCCACCGCAGAGGGAGGAAGTGGCATTTGACTTGCCCCTTGCCCCCACGGGTGGCTTTGGGGCTCTTCCAGACCATGGCTTCTCTGATTCTCTACTTTCCTTCCCAGTCTCTATCCTCTGCCCTCTTTTGTTTTACTGACATTTTCTTCAGCCAGAGTTCTGGCATCTCTGTGAAGCTTTTAATGATTTTTCCATGCTGCACCCTTTACAAACCAGAGTGGAGTCTAAAGGAGCTCTAGCTCTCTCCATGGTCCCTTCTGCAGAAACACACCCCTGCGCTAGCCAGCAATGTCTGTCCCGAGCTCCCCAGTGCAGTCCGGCTCGTAGTTCAGCCTTTCTCATCCCTGTATGCTATCTTTGATTTGACACACCTCTCTGTCTCTGTGTCAAGACTGCGAGCTCCTTGACAGCAAGAATTGTCTCTGATCTCTGCATCTGAGAGCACCTGGCCCTGGGAGCGTGTTCAGCATTCGCTGGGTGACTTGGAGGGGTTGGCCCAGGGGAAAGGAGACTTTTCCTCCAGAAAGGAGAAGTAGCTGAGGTGAAGATTCTGCCTCCTGGGGTCGGGACCCCTCTGAGATCACAGAACTCTCCACTCTGGTCATTGTCATCGTGTGGTAAACAGTGACACAGCTCTCTAAGATGACACACCTTTCTGTTTTTCCTTTAAAGCAAGCAATCCGGTGATAGCGGCTCAGTTCTGGTAAGTGCCCCCAGCCTCTGGGGTACAGCTCTTCTCTCTAATTGTTGTCTTTATTTGCAGTGTTGACTTTTTCCTTACTACAGTTAAACCACAGAGTGAGTCACCTGATGATATCCCTCCCCTTATTCTGCTGCCTGCCTGTACCATAAGGACACAATAGAATGTTCCAGGACAGTTTTTTTTTTTTCTTTTTTAAAACGCAGCTGCTTTGTCGGCATAGCTTTGTGCTTTGTTTGTGACGACGGTGGGCTTTAGATAAAGGTGAGGGGAAGGTATATGCCGCACTGTGCTGGTGGCATTGCCAGCAGCGATGGGGAAGTGAGGCCGCGCTCCGGAGCAAAAGCTCTGTGAGAGCAAATGCTGAATCCACTCGGTGACGTGCAGGCTCTACAGTCGTACAGCATAGACGCCCTTGCTAAAACAAGGCGTTGTTTTAGCCTTTACTGAACGTCATGCAGACAAAAGAACATGTCACAAGGCGAAAACTCCAGCCCAGGTGTGAGCAAACTTTTCCTGTAAAGTGCCAGATCGTAAATACTTTGGACCTGAGAGGCTGTGTTCTCTCTTTCGTGGCGGCTCAGCTCTGTCTCCGGCACACAAAAGCAGCTGAGATGGTGTGTCAATGAAAGAACACAGCTATGTTCCAATAAAACTTTCCTCGTAATTGCAGGTGGGCCAGGTTCGGCCCACAGGGTGTGATTTGCCTGCCCCTTCCCCAGCCCGGGTGTTCTTGATCTTTCCTGTACATGGAATCTCCTGGTGAGCCTTGAGAGCCCCGCCTCAGCCAGGCCACGCCCCAGGTTAATTGCATCCAGCTCAGAGAAGGTGGACCCAGGCATCTGGTTTTTTAAAGCGCCTAGGTGATTCTAGTGTGTGGCCCAGGTGAGAAGCACCATCCCACCTCTCATGGACCTCTTTTTCTCTCTCGGAAACAACTCTTTGCACATGTGAGCTCTGACTGAGATGGACAGCGTCATGCTAGAGAATCACAGGCTGTATTGTTTTGGCCCTGGTGTTCAAGCTCCAGCCACTGATAGCCCATTTTAGTTGGCTCCTTGATCTTGCCAGGCACAGGTCTCAGGCTGCTGGGGAGATTACTTAGAGGTGAGCACAGCTTGACTGTGGCAGGTATTCCAGAGAGGTGGCAGGGCCCAGCATGGGGGCGGAGTGGGTAGACCATGCCGTAGTGGGTGATGAGGATGCAGGCCAAGGGACCAGGAGGCCTCCCTCCTCGCCCCCTAGCCTTGCTTTCATCCAGCTCTGGAGCCTTAGGCCTTCCTTCTGGGCCTCCACGGAACACAAGGAGGTTGTGCTAGATCAACGTTGGTCTGCACTTCTTAGCCTCTGATGTTCGCCTCCTGGAAGAATCCTGACCTGGAAGCCCAGCTTCGAGCACAGACAAAAGTAGAGCTGCTCTGGGTGAAGCCAGGCAGGGAGGAGGAGGCCGGCGCCTGCCTGTTCTTCTGCCCCCTCACCACCATGCAGCCCCAAGACACCTGGCAGGGCCCCAAGGTGCTAGAGAACATGACCAGCCCCTGTGTCACACAGCTGGGAACTTGGCCTTCTGTCTCTGATTCCAAGCTCCGCCCACAGTACCTTTCTGCTGGGGGGCCAGCAGCTGACTCTTGTGTCTGGGTTCACATCTTGGCACCTAAAGAAGGGGCTACAGAGTCCTGTTGAACTGCCGTGCATCCCTCCCTGCCCCTGAGGGAGGGAGGTGGTTGCAGGGTTACTTCATGGCCTCCTTGCAGGCCCACAGGCATGCCCGTCTCTAGGATCCCCATGGCAGGTAGCCTGCCCAAAGTAGTCGCACCTTTCTGCACCTGTCAGCGTGTCTTGCTTCGAATTCTCAAGGGCTTGTGAGTTAAGACATGTCTTTCCTTTGCTTTCTAAGGAAGTGATTGTTTTGTTTGTTTTTCCCTAATAAAATTATATTTTTCTTTTAGCATCTAGTGGAAATTATATATATTGGGAACCAAAACAAACTAAAAAAAAGGGTCCACTGGTGGGGGGGAACCACAGTAAATATACCCTTTAGGAACAAATGAACTAATAACCACTGTTCGCAGCTGTTCAATTGCTCTTCACAGCCTGTGGGATCCCGGAGTGAGTAGGATTGCTGTGGGAGCCAGGGATGAAATTGTGCTCTGGGCTGCAGAGGTGATACCAGAAAAATAGCACCTTGCAGTGCAAAATCCAGCTGGAGGTGAATCTGGCCCAGAGCCTAGCTCTGTGCACTGGCCCTCTCTGAAAACTGGAACACAGCGCCATTTAGACCCCAAGCTAGATTCATAACAATGAAATGTTTCTCTCCTTGTCAGAGAAGCAATAAACCTTGATTTCAAACACACCACCCTAGCAACGTAGCCCAGCGATTGCACTGTATTTGTGCTTTTCCTGCCAACCTTGCGTATGAAACACATTGGTTGCGTTTTATGCATGAAACCAGCCTTCTCTGCCTGTATATATAAATATATATATAAATACATATATATCTTTTTTTTTTTTTTACCAGAATAGTTATACTTAAGAGTCTATCAAACTAGAATAAGGCATGAGGAGCTGGGAACCCTTTCTCAGACCCTCAGGGGGCCCACTTGACTTTGTGGAAAGTACATGGGCTTTGGGATCGAGCAGATGTCCGTTCCAGTGCTGGCCCTGCCACGGTCTAGCTGGCTGGCCCTGAACAGGTTTCCTCACTTCTCTGTTAGGTAACCTTGCCTTTATCTGTAAAATGAGGTGATACCAGTTATTGACGTCATAGCCTTGTTGTGTGGGTTAAAGAGTAACAGGAGGTTCCCAGTACAGAGCCTTATATGGAATGAGCGTTCCAGAGCCGTGGCCAGATCACAGCCCTGTTGATAGCAGCGGGACCCACCGAGTTAAATGCTCAGGAGAGGCTGAGCTCTCCCTGCAGCTGGAGAAAGCTCTGGGTGGCTGGAGCAGCCGTGGGGCCACCCCGCAATGCCAGTGCAGACCTGGGAGGGGAGCTCATGACATCACGGGCAGGATTCTGGAATACTGCCTTCGTGTTTCTATCTGGGAGCTCGAAAGTGATGACTAAAAGTTGCTGTTTGGTCGCCTTGTTTATATGTTCATTTAAACAGCTAATAACCAAAAAGAAATGGCGTTCGTGAAAGTTCCTAACAGTGTTGGTAGGATTTGCTGATGATGGTTAAATAAATCACTAATAATGCCTCTTTACAACCTGTTACATTACAGTTTTTCCCTTCTTTTCTTTAGCTCTAAAACAAATCCCGAAGTCCATAATTACCAGGTGAGATACTGCTTTTAAAGATTTTCATTAACACTTCAAAGTTTCAAAATTTTCTGCATTCAAGCAGTCATTATGCTTATAGCCAAATTTTGAAGAAACAGTAACAAAACATTTTTTGTGGGTGGGTGGGGGGGGGTTGTTTTTGTTTTTTGAGAAAACAGTAAGAGGAGAGCCTTGTTCTATGACCCCTGGTCCCTTCTGGTCATTTCAGCTGGGCCTGTTTTTTCTTAACATTGTTAGCTGGCAAACAGCAGGAACATATGTTTAAGTTTCTAGGTGGTCAAATACAACCTCTTAGGGGCACTCAGGTGAAGCCGTGTTTTGTCAGTATGGTCTCGGCCTCGAGAACGTGAGTCCCTTGAGATGTGCCTCCAGGAAAAGATGTCTTAGTCACATGTTTGGGAGATGGTGAACCCTTCATTCCCCTTCTTGGATCTTACAGTGCCCATTCGGGTGTCAAAAGTACTGAGAAATCCTGCAAAAAAAGATACTTTTTTTTTTAAGCCATTGTTTCCCCAAATCATTTGACGATTGAACAATCCCTCCCCCATTTAAAAACAACAACAACAACAACAACAACAACAAAAACTAGCCTCACCTCCCTGCCTGCCTGTTTTTTTGGAGAGTGTATCTGTTAACATCAGTGGAGCATTGGTTTCTAGAACCTTCTTTATAGAGCATTGTACCAGGCCTGTTGAGCCTGTAGAAGGAGCACAGAGAGGTTTCCTTGGCTGGTGTTCTGTTCTTCTACTGGGTGGCCAAGCAGGGCCCCCACCCCCTGCCTGCCCACCCACCCATACCTGGGGTTGGCTCTTGCTGGCCATTCACGGCCTTCTACAACCTGGCTCCAACATGCTTTTCTACATTTATTCCCCCCTCCTCCCAGCTCCTTATCACGCATCATGTGTTCAGCTCCCATAATCATGGCCCCATAATTTCTTCCCGCTGTTCCTTTGTCCCTGTTTCTCTGCCTGAAATTCCCTTACCTGTCTGTGCATTAAAATATCCTCCAGAGCCTCCTCAGAAGGCACCTCCTCCACAGAGCCTTCTCCGATCCTCCTGATTGATGATCGCCGACACTAGTGGTCCTCAGTCTTGCAGCTGCACATCTGCCAGGCTTTAAAAACATAACCAGTGCTCAGACCTCACCCCGGACTGATTGAATCAGAAGCTCTGAGGATGGGTCTGGGTATCAGACACCTTCTGAGCACCTATGGTGGTTCTGATGAGCAGCCGGGGGGAGGGGAGCCCCCTGCACTGACAATGTGTCCCTCACTAGGTTCGTGCTTAGAGGCAGCATCCATGTCTGATGACCTCCTCGCTTGGGGCCATTTTTCTTGTGCTGCGTGGGTTCTATCCAAGGACACTACTCTCCTCTCACCAGTCTGGTTTTGAATGTCACGAGTAAGAAGCTACTCCATAAGGGGTTCTTCTGGGAGCATTATTTTAGTGTCCTTCTTGATCTTTTGTTACTGTGGATATTAATTCCTTAGATGGGGGTGGGATCCCAGTGTACATGATCTTGATGAGGTCTCCAAAGTATGTTTCAGAAGAATTTTGTGATACCATCTTCTGTACGTGAAATCATCTTCACAACGTGCAGAACTTGGACATGACTTCTGAGTTTGGGGGAATAACATGTGCATAACATGCACAAAGCATAAAAGTGCTTTGAACCTGGTAGGGGAACAGCCTGGTTTCCCAATCTCGTTGCTTTCTTTAGGTTTTTGAATCTTCTCCGTCACAGGTTGGCTTTTTGGTTTGGAGGGATTTTCAGGTGTGAGAGGCTGGCTGTGGGGGAAGGGAAGAGCTGTGGATGGGTGGTCCCTGCTTGAAGGCATGAAAAAAATGAAAATGAAGCAAAGCCTTCCCTGCCCAGAGTAAACATGGGAACAGTTGTCCATTGAACTCCAGGCACAAAAACTGTTACCTAGATGTTGTTCTTCTCATAACATCTTTGGCAACCCTTGGTCTTCTACCCCTTGCCAAGCCTTAGAGGTTCTGTGTTGCTCTATCAAGGTTTGGGAGTGAATTGACCAGGAAGAGAATGTTCTGAGAAGTGGGCTGATCGGTAAGCGTCTGAGTGCTGAGAATGGTTTTCAGGAGGATGGCCTTGCAGCGTCCATCTTTCTGCGAGCTCAGCCAGCTGCAAAGAAGGATGGATTGCTGTGGTTTTGATAAGGACACTGTTGGCATTTGGGGAGGGACAGTTCTTCATTGTGGGACTGTCCGAGAGTTATAGGATGTTTAGCTTCCCTCTTTCTCCCCGGTAGTTAATAAAGGTAATCCTTTCGTCATCGTGACAAGCAAAAGTGCACATACATATTTCCAGTTGTCCCCAGGGGGACAAAACTGCCCTGGTGAGAGCCATTTGGGTTAACACTAAAAAATGCTCCTTAAAAAAAAAAAAAAAAAGCTCCTTGACAGCTTTAGAGTGTGAATAAATTACCAAAGGAGTCAAAGGAAGGTTTGGGAATATCCTTCCAGGTCTTTATGGATGAGGTACCCACCTTGCACTAATGAATCTGATTTGATTGTGTTTGAAGACAGGGAATAGAATAGGAGGTCCATTTCTCTTCTAGATTATTCCCTTCTGTTGGAGATCCAACTGGTGGAGCCTCATTTGGGGCCTGGCTGTGTGACCAAAACACTTGAAGCATTCAGCTTTGTGCAAACCGTCTAAACTCTAGGTCTCTGTCTCCTTGAGAGAGGTCCGTTCTCAGATTAGGCTCCTGAGATCTTTTCTCTGGATCCTTTTCCTTTAGCATGTCTTTTTAGGGGCTGTACACTTTGCTTGCTGACAGGTATCTTTGAAGGAGAGAGGCCACTAGAAGACAGAATAGGCAGGGAGGGAGGGCATCTTCGGTTCCTGAAAACAGAATGAACAGAATTACTGAGAATTTTCCATAATACAGAACAGGTTTGTGCTTATCAACCAAAACAGCAGGGAAAGGAGAAGGGGAAGAAATAATTAAAAGAATAATGGTGGCAAGATGATAGTGACTTAAAAGTCAGGAGGGTCTAATGTGCTGCACAGAAAATTTAGCCTTGAGAAGCCCCCTTGGCTTCTGGCCATGTCTGGGGCCACCGCCTTCTGCAGGCCAGAGGTGGACAGACGGCCCTACTACCCAGCCAGGCCTGCCTTGTCTTCACCTCTGGTCCTTTGGTGAGTCACCAGTCTGGATCTGTTTTCCCATCTTTCAACGGATAAATTCCTTCCTTCCTTCCTTCCTTCCTTCCTTCCTTCCTTCCTTCCTCCCTCCCTCCCTCCCTCCCTCCCTCCCTCCCTCCCTCCCTCCTTCTGTCCCTCCGTCCCTCCCTCCCTTCCTATCAGGATAATAAGTGCTCTGGGTGGTTTGGGGTTTTATTTTTGATAGCAACCGGGTGGGGGGTGAGGTTTGGTACTGGGTTTTGGATCATATTTTAGAAAAATATTCTTGCTGCTTAAACAAGGAAGAAAGAGACCGCCCACAGTCCTGTTGCCTTGGTGTCCCTGTCCAGTTCTCTTGCATTTGCAGAAGCCACTCTTAGGCATGGTTGTTGTCATTCTCAGCGATGACGAAAATCATTTCTGAACTTACCATTCACCCCCTATCTTGGGTGTCTTCCGTCTGTTCCCTTGAGGGTGATGGATATTGCCTGTCCTGGGGGCTCTAGGGGACCCTTTCTGGGCAGATGCCTTCCCCATCCCCCCACCCTTTGTCGTGGGGGAAATGTGATCATCCTGGAAAGCCACCTCCCAGCCAGGGTTTCATTAGAGCCTTTCCATTCACAGCCCTGGGCCCCTCAGCTAGATGCCAGTAAAAGGGAAAGTAAATGAAGGGCATTGAAATCAAAAGGTCATCGAATAATCAAGTTTGGTATTTCATTTCTAGCCTCAGTACCATCCCAATATCCACCCCAGCCAGCCTCGGTGGCACCCTCACTCTCCAAATGTAAGGTAAGTGCTTGAGCTCACAGAGCTGTACTTTCTCGAAAGTTCTCCCTTTGGAAAAACTCGAATTCTACCTACTTGGGAATCAAAAGTCTGCATTAGAAACAGCTGTTAAGAGTTGCCGTGTCATGGCAGAGATTAATAATTTGCCAAGCAAAGGAAGCCAGTGATGAGTCTGGATTTACCAAAGTTATGCTTTTTGAAATAAAAATGAATTGGGTTTTGTTTTTTGGGGTTTTTTTAGGCATTCTAACCTCAGATATTTTTGGTTTGGTTTTGTGTTAGAAATGTTACTTAAAATTTCTAAGTAACATTTTCCTGTCCCAAGAATTCAGTTACTAAAAATGTGCCTCAAGCTTGGGGATTTTTGTTGTGGGTTTTTTGAAAGGACGTTTTTTTCAGGGTTGGGGTAGGGGGTTGTTTTTTTTGTGTGACAGTAGATCTTTTTTCTAAACCCAGGGGTCAGTAAACTTTCTCTGTTACGAGCCAGATAACGAGTCTTTTCAGCTTTGTGGTCTCTGTCACAACTACTGAGCTCTGCGTTTGTAACTCTGAAGCAGCCAGAGAGAACCCAAGAGTGAATGGGCGAGGCTGCATTCCAATAAAACTTATTTACGAAAATAAGTGGGTGAGATCTAGCCCCCTAGGGCTGTTTCCTCACCTCTGCCCTAACCCACCACAATCCTTTCCAAGTAAACTGGCACCTGGCTTGCTGGGTTTTTCATCAGGCTTGAGAGTGTTTTGATGCCAGCTTTGTAAAGGCAAATGTTCCTTTGCAGATTTGAATTTTAGATCAGTCTTAATTGCTGTTTGTGTGTGAGGCTCTTTCTGTTGGTGAATTCACTTTGCATAAAGTTATTTCTTGGTGAGGTTGCTAGCCTTGCTGCTTGAGAAAGTATGGAGAGAATGGAGTGATGAAAATAAATCCATGTGGAGCAAGGCAAAGGAGAGCCATTAGGTTCTTGATGATTCTTGCCACTTTTGTTGGGGGACCTTGGAGAAGGACCACGGTGCAGCTTTACCAACAACACTTGATACTCGGGTAACTTTTTAAAGCTAGTCAGCCCAGCAGAGTAATAACTCTAAATGTTTCTGTATTGCAAAGGCAGTTTTTTTTCCAGACAGAAGAAAACAGAAGAGGTTTCTAGAAATGCTATTTTTATTGACCTTATTTTTACAGAATTTTAGACTTTTTAGTGCCTGTTTTACCACTTTAGTTTCCTTCTGAGGTGCATCCTTGCCCAACAGTTTGCAAAGGGGATTCTGTGGGAGGCCACAACAGGGTCCTCTCTGGGGGGCATTGGCCTCCCCTTCGAGCTCGCTGATGCCCATTCTTTGCCCCACCCCAACCCTGCTGGATCAGTGTCTGCGGGTAGGGCCCAGCACTCTTGGCAAACTCTGCCTAAGGCATTCACAGCACCCGTTAGCAGTGCGCACACAGTGCTGAACGGTGCCTGGCCAAGGACCCCTTGTCACCTGACTTTCCTCAGACTGACTTGCTCAGCAAGGTGCCCTTTGAGAAATGATGGTATGGCCGTGGAGCGGGCTTCTCTTGACCTGGACGTTGATAGATAACCTGCATTCTGAATTTTAAAAAAAATACCTTAGAAAAACCATTCGTTTCCATCTGTAAGCCATCCCCATTGACACGGCTCATGGTTTCTCCTGCCCACCTCCCTCATACGTGTGTTGTTTCACTCACATTTCTGAATTTTCTTTCATCCCTCCCGCTAACCATTCACTCTGCCAACAAAACAGGCCATGCTTTCAGGATGACAGGCCACCGCACTGGGAAAAGTCGGCCAGTGGAGGTGGCAGCCATTTCGATTATGTCCACGACCAGAACCAGAAGAACTTAGGAGGATTGCAAAGTATGGTGTATCGAGATAAACTCATGACTGCACTTTGAGAGACTGAAGCATCTCACCTCCATTCACCATCACAATGTCCTTACATCCCACGAAAAGTGTCTTGGCATCACATAGACGTGTTTGCACAAGTGTCTTTGCGGAAAAGTTCTGAGAAGTGTTCCCGGCATCCATATAAATATTTGCAAACAACCACAATCACTAGTCGTAATTTACTGTTGACTGCATTCTCAATAAAATGAAGGTAGTTAAAAGGCTCAGGAATCATTTTAACATTCTGATTTTAAAATTGGAGTAAAAGTCTGTGTTGATCGTATTGCTATGTACTTGATATTTCTTTGTTATTTAATGAACGGGACCAAATAACACCAGGAGAACATGGGAAGATGGCTCTGCGGAGAGCACTGCACAGTCCTGGGGTGAGGAGGAGGCTGCTGGGGCCCAGCCCCGGCCACTGTCAGAGGGTGGACAAGCCCTTCTCCTCTGGTGGCCTCCTTTGCCCCATCCGAAAAGAGTGGGTTGGACAAAATGATCGCCAAGCTCCTTCCAGCTCTACAATTCTGTGATCTATGAAAAGTCAATATTTTCAGTCTGAGGATCTAACATTCCATCGAAATTTCTCAGAGGGAAAACTGCAAAATCCCCTTCTCTAACAGAGGGTTACCCCTTTCAGAAGCCAAATAAAGTATATAACTGGGTAGGTGGGACCTGTGTATGGGGAGGCTCTGAATTTCCTATCTTAAAGCAATCTAGCCACTTTGAATCTTAGCAGATTTACTAGTCACAAATTGCATCGCATCCGTATGCTCGAGTACGAGAATGATTTTTTTAATTATTGATTGGTGCTGCTAACTTGTGTGATTTCAGAAGACATGATTATGAATACACTGTCAGAATTTATAGAACTTGAGGCTTAGTTTTTACCTTGGACTTCACTCTTTAAAAAAGCGACATGCGATCCAAAATCCATTTATGGCTCAAATTAAAGTATATAGGATTTTAATAAAGTTGTGCCAAAGCATCCCGTAGAACAGGATGGGGTGGGTGTCACGCAGTCATTTCGTAGTTCCAGCTAATCAGTGTGTTGTCTTTGAGGGTAGAACTTGTACCGAAATACTTATTTCCCCCCATTTCAAGCCACAAGTCAAACATTTTTTTCTCTTGATAGAACTGAGATAATTTTTCACTAGTATTTTCATGAAAACAGTTCTTAAACGCCATTTCCATATGTGTAATTGTAATTTGGCCCATTTTAAGCTTTTTAAAAAAAATGTATTGACATCTCTTGAGATATTTTATTGCTAAAATCTGATCTATTTTTGGTTGCCACAAAAATCTGTCTAGAGGGAGGGATTCAGCTACACGCCCTGCACAGTAGAGTCAGTCGCCTATAAACTTTTCCTACGATATCTGTTTACAGGTGTATTCCGTTTTAGCAGATGTTTTGATCCTCAGTGTTTGTGCTGCATACAAATAAATGTGTTCCGAAACTTTTAATCTTACTGGTACATTTTTACCAATGTGTTTCCAAGGAATAAAGATTATTCTTGCTTTTTTGGACTCCATCTTCATTTTATCTTGCGCAGAAGTATCATTTGTGGATGACATAGATAAGGGGACAGTGAGCTTTTAGAAGTCTGAAGGTTCAGTTAGGTGAGGTGGAGCAAGTTCATCTTAGAATGAAGCTACTCTGGGGAAGAGTAGCTCTGGTAGGCACCCTGGCTGAAGCTTTTCTTCATCTGGTGCATCTGTAGTGAAGGTTCTAGTCACTGGGGCTGAGCAGAGTGAAGTGGCAGAGTAGGTTTCCCCCATTACCGTCCTGTGATGCAGGTGGGTGTTTGTCCCAGCTGCTGTTGCTGTTCCTGGTGGAAAGACGTCCAAACCTGTGTCTGTGGCTGCCCGGAGAGTGTGTATACATGGATACCCTCTAATAAATACCTTTCTGTTTAAAATAACTTGAGTGGATTCCGTCGTCTGCAACCAAGAAGTCTAACAGGATGCATACTTACGACCTCCGAAATGTTAAATGACGTGTCCACTTTTCATCCCTCAGCTTAGTGGGCCTCTCTCTGCTGCATTTGATGGTGGTGGTCACTCCTTCACGGCTTCTTGAAAGTCTGTGCACTTGGTTTCTGTGACATCCGGCGCTCTAGCTCTTTGACTTTTTTCTCGGTCTTTTTCACAGCCTCATCCTTCCGTCTTCCTATTAAATGTTGGTGTTTTCCAGGGGTCCTTCCTCTGCCCGCTGCCTTTCTCGCCATCACAGTAGATCCTGGGCCTTCTCCTGGCACCATTTTATGGCTGTTGACCATGAAGTCATGATCGCTAACCCAGACTACTACTACTGCTCCTATGAGTTTTTAGACTGACATTTCAACCCGCGTATCCCATGTACACCTCAAACTCATGTCAGAAATCAAATTCATCATCTTTTCCTGGAGAACAAAGAAGAGACTTCCGCCTGATTCTCCACCTGCAAGAAGAATGTATGCACACTCCATCCATAACTCTTCCTCCTGTTGCCCCCAGGTCTGCTCAGCTCCTGACCTTGTCAACCCTGACCTTGCAGCAACATCTTCTTTCTGCCTCAGAGGTGTTCTTCCTGGTCTCTTTGACTCCGGGCTCCTGCCGAGCTCATTGTCCTCACAGTCATTCTGATGATCGACATCTGCCGGGGTTCTCCAGCACCCAAAGGGTGAGGTCCAAGGCCTTCTCTATGGAATCCCTTTGCTGTCTGCTTCTGTTCTATTGCTCTAGCCTATTTCGCCCCATTTCTTACCCTCCCGTTTAAATTTCTACACCACCAAGCTGCTTGTCGTTCCTGGAGTGCACCATATCCTGCTGTTGCTCCTGTCTGTGCTTTGCAAATACTGTTCCTTCTGCCCAGAATGCTCTCACTCCCATCCCCTTTGCCCAACTCTTGCTCACCCCTTATGCCTCCACTCAGACGTGGTCTTCTCCCCAGGACTCCTACCACCCTCATTTCTGCAAACCGGGTTAGTTTCTGTGTTCTGCTCTGTGCCTGCCCCTCAGCTCTGCTGTATCAACATTGCATTCGCTACTTTACATTAAAACTGCCTCTTTTGTTCATCTCATCCTGGAACCTGCACGCTCCTTAAGTATGAGTTTTGTCCCGTA